AAAAAAAAAAAACAAGTTTCTCGTGCTAAGAATAAAATTTTGCTAAAGTCATAGTCAAATTTTTTGAAAGATTCAGAGGGTCAAATTATCAAAGGAAACCCATTAGAACCCGCCCCTGTTTTCCTATAATTAATTAAGGGTAAGATTATCAAAAGTTAAAGTAGTTTGCTGTCTTAACTTCACATTGCATACTAATTAAATAATTATTAATCAAGGGTAGAAGGTAAGGAAAGGAGTAAAGTACTTGGAGAGGAAAGAGGGAAGTATTGGTAGAAATGGGATAGATGTATGTATGAACCCAATTATTTTTAAAATATAAATACATGAGTCGGGATACTCCTTATAATTCAATAAATAAAATTGTTGTTTAAAAGAAATTTTTTAAGACATAAATATTTCTAATTCATTAATCAAGAGAATTTATGTTATGTTAAATGTAAAGGCTAATTGAGATAATATATATATATATATATCTGGAAAATTTGACATGATAATTAATTAGTCGAAAGGATAATTAATTCCCATTTGAAGCTAGCTTGCTTTGGCCCTAAAGAATAAAACCATGTGTTTCCACAACCACTTGAACACGTTTAGGGAGACAGCTGCATGGTGAAGTCTGAAGCTTTTTGGAGACAGCTTGGAGCGTCAATTTTCATAACGAATCTTTATTTTGGGACCGTAAAAAACTCCAAAACTTTTAATATTAGATTCTAGGCTCTAGCTAAATTAGAAAAAAGAACCTTCTCTTTTTGACCCATGTATGAAACTATAACAAAGAAAATCAACACACGAAGTTTGAATTTAACTAAATGTAACTTTTTAACCTGTAATTTTAGGCATAGATTAAGGATCAATAAATTAAAAAGACCCTTACTGAAATTATTAGCTAATTGTGGAAAAATAGTAAATAAATTTGTGATGATATGAATTTTTTTATGTGTTTGAAAATGGGGAAACAATGAAATATGTTTGAAAAAGAAAAAAAATTATAAATGTAATATATAACAACCTAGTAGAGTTAGTATATACTCCGTATATATAAGGCTATAACTGTGACAAAAGGAAGGGCATGCCCATGTATTTGCATTTACAACATAAAGTTGTAGCCAGCCAATTTTTCCACTATGAAGAATTTAGAATTAATGATAGTTTATATTGATAATTAATTAATTTATTAGGCAATTCGACGAATGATTAGGTTAAAACGAACTCTGTCCATCATTCACATGGAAATCAAGCGTGTGGGGACATTATTTATTCAGCTAATTAGTGATTGGTTAAATTAATTAAGAGAAATAAGAAAACGTGGCGCAAACTTTTTGCCTGTACTTTGTTTTCATAATTAAGATTTAACCTATTTGCGTCTTTTGAATAAAGATTAAATATGCTATATTTTATTTTTTTTTAGCGATTGAGGTGAAACTCGAATTTCATATCTTCAAGTTTTAACATAAAAAACTCTTAATAAAGTGATGGTAGTCATTAGGTTAGTAAGACATTCTCAATTAAATGTATTACATTAATTACATATTTTTTTATTAATGTGTATAAAAAAAATCTAAAAGTAATTAAATTTCAACTTTAGATATTATAATCACTTATAAGGGGCAATAAAGACTAGGAAATAACGACTCCCTCAATTCGTAAATAGTTCGTTGCTTTTTTATTTTTCTCGAAATTATGAATTTGGAGACAATTTATGTGTCCCTTCAAAAAAAATAAAAGATAAAGAGCTAGTAACTAATTAAAGAAAATAGAAATCCATAAAAAAAAATTAAAATAGATAGATAATTATGGACTTGAAGTAAAAAAAAAAAAATTTGTTTATTTTAAAATATAAAAAATTATTAATTTAAGATAAATTTAAAATAAAAAAATTATTTTGGGAATAAAAGACTAAAATTGTTCAATATTTTTATTATTAACTAAAATGACCACGTAA